CAAGAGCTTCTCATTACAGTATTACAAGATAAATGACTGGAGCTGGAATTCTAGATCAATAGCTCTCAATTTTGTTTATGTTGGAAATTGGTTAGCTTTAAAAAACAATTACCTGTCCTGCAACCAGACCACATTCCAAGATGTTCTCTTTCAGTTTGTCATTTATGTACCAAAATTTCACACTATAAAGTCCCTTATCTCTAATAATTTTTACATCTAATTTTTATCTCACTTTATCTGTAACAATTTTTCAGAAATGAGACATTAAATAATTTTTTAAAGGAGACATTAAATACCAAGGTAGATAATTCTCTCAAGTCTCAAGAGAATGAGAATAAAGCATCCAGAGCAAATATTACAGATGTCAGGTATTAATAAATCCAGAAGGTAAATTTGGAAGCTCATGTTGTTGTGGTGTATTATCACCATGAAATATTTAATACTCACAATCTTTTAATTATTTGATTAGGAAACTATAATTTATCACCACTAAATATTTAGAATACTAACAATGCCATAATTATTTCTGATTCTGACAATATTAATAAATCACTCCCTGTCAAAAAGATCAGATTGCACACTTACGGTCTGCTCTGATAAGTTGATTCGAACAAGAGTGTTGCCTGAAGCCTTTGCTAATGCTCCCACCAAACTTGTTTTGCCCACACCAGGGGAGCCCTCTAGAAGAATGGGTTTATTCAATTTTGTAGCTCTTAAAAGCCTCTGGGCATTCATAGCTGTGGTGCCTGCACTCAGTGCATAGTCAGCAACATTATTCCTGTGCAGGATAGGTCCTTAGGAAAAGAAAAGTCACACATAAGCGGCTTAACACCAAATTGTACATACATGTCAACTCAAAATTTTAAGGACCCACCCATGGAGACTATCAATTGTGATTGACAGTGAAAATGGGTAGCCTGTTTTTAGGTCCATAAAATACTTTGCAGGTACAGCCAGCAGGACTTTCTTCAACTGTGCCTACTACACAGATCTGTCACCTACACATTTCTATACCAATACCTAATATATAGGTCAAACAGCAAGCACACATCATTCTTTTTTACAAAGTACACCCAGAATTAACACGTGCTGTACAATTTTCTTGTACTTTCATTTTCCTAAATGTGAAGTGGAAGCTAGGGCCACATGATTCCGTATGAGCAATTTTTTCCAAGATTTTTAGGCCACAAAGACTTTGAGAATTCTTAGCTATAATGTAGTTAAGTTCAGACTAGTAACAATATTATAGGAATTAAAATATTTGGTAGTTTTTTGCATACCAGTTTGGAGGGAACGGGAGTTTGAGAACTTTTATTACATCAGTAAAGGAAGCTGAAGCAAGAAACTCCACACACATAGCCCCAAGTCCCAGGTCACCAGAATGTAACACTTACATTCAATACTGAATATTAAGATGGTGTTTAGGGTAGGGATTTAGCGGTTAGATCACTGTGCCCAATCAGTGATGGTGAGAGGGAGAGCAAAATGAGGGCAATGTTCCATTTGGCCAAGAACTTCAATGATTCTGTTTACTACTGAAACTCTAATAACTGCTGCTATACTTCTATATTACAGATACTCAACAATTATTAATGTGGGAAGGAAGGAATAAGAAATAAATGAACATTTGGGAAACAACAACCTAAAAAATTAAGAGGACCTTAAAAAGATATCTACTAAAATGGTCTCACTTAAGCATTTGATAGAGGCAACCTGGTAAGAATGATAATTCAAATCCACCTGCATTTCCTATGGAGTCAGGGCCACATGTCAGAACAACGAATGTCACAATATCCAACCTTCAAGAGTTCATGAAACTATGGTGAGATTCTATAGTTGATATATTATGGGCTGGATTTCACTATATAAAAGCTCTTGTTTTGAGCCCCAAATAATAAACGGACTTTCCTAGCACTATTCAGGTTGAAAAGTATCTACTTCCCCTATTTTTATAAGGCAGTTATATATTTTTATCCAGTTATACAATTAATTACACAAAGTCAGATTTTAACATAACTAGTTCAAAATATAATCATGAGTATGATACAGAAAAACTAAATCACAATAAAAGTCAAGCACCTGAGATCTATGAGAAGATAATTATTCTTACCCCTTGGTATAAAAAATGGATAAATCCCCCAAAGATTATCTATCCCAGTGAATTCTTTAGCCTTAAGTCTGTCGTAGATCTTCAAATCATTTTTCTGACATTCTGTAAGTCGGATTATCTTAGACAGTTTCTTGATGAGGAATTTCAGGCATTCTTTGCGAGCCAAGAGTGCTGTACCAAATCCAGATGAAGTTACCCCTAGAAGATAGACAATCAAGCCATCAAACAACAGTACTGACATGAAACTTCACAACCAGGTATTTAGCACAAACTCTATGGCAAATTCCTGGGGAAATGAGGACCTAGTAGAATTACAGCCTGGATATAATTGCCAGGGCAAGTAATTCTAAGAAAAAAGTCTGACACATCGTCATTCATGATGTGGTACTAATGATCATTTTTGCTTATATTTCTTAGCTTCCTGGCTGAGAAAACAGAACTTAAATATTGGATTTTTAAAAATCATAAAACAAAATAAATGAAGGATTCATATTAAGAATTTCCCATTCCTTACTGGATATGATACTGGCATATCCAGTTTTCTTTCTGTTTAGTTGTCCCCTGATGTTTCCTAAGTGCCTGGTGTAAGAAAAGTTTCAACCACCCCTCAAAAAGCATAAGAAGAAAAGGAAAATCATCCCAAGTCTTGGAAAATGTTAAGAGTAAATGATTCTAGAAGTAAATTATCTGGGTCAGAGATCCAGACTTGTTCTATTTCGTACTCCCTTTCACCTTTCACTCCCTTGTCCCCACTAACCAGCAGTCAACGTACCTGAACCTATTCCATCGATATACACCAGACATGCAGCATGGACAAATGATGTCACAGTGGAAATGGTCTCAGGCCTTTTCAAAGCAGCTTCTGCCCCCATTGTGTTCATGAAGTTAACCCAGGACAGGATATCTCTGATACTGACCACACACCTTCGGCCAAACTCCTGATGAGTCAGCCAGTCAATGAAATCCAGCATCACTTCAGCTATGTCAGCTCCTAAGAAGCAAAGTATTTGCTGTTTACAGAAGACACCAGAATGAGAAAGCCTAATATGAGTCCACACTCCATAAATTCATGCAGAATTTTATGAATGCACATTACTAATTCTTCTAAGAATGGTCTACGGCTTTTATCACATTCCCAAAAGTTTTGTGAATACCATTTCACAGATACCAAAACAACAAAAACCTTGAGAATTAGTTTTAAGATTCTCCCCTGAAATTTATTGCTGAAAAAAAAAAAAAAAGGTACTCACTTGATTCTAGATTGCATAAAATTTTGATGTTAAATCACAATGACATTAGGGAATACACATTTTATTACTTTTAAACTGACTCACTGGATTATCATTTTCATGAAAACTGAATGCTTTCAGAAGTACTGATTCTAAGGTGTGAGGTTGGAAAAAGCAGCCCACATGCCTCTTGGGAAAAAACACAGATTTTTTTTTTAATACATCAATTTCATGAAACCTTTTTGTTCATACTGTGACTCTGGATAATGCTACTTCAGAGATTTGTAATTATACTTACATATTGTTAATGTGTACTTCTAACTTCAACACACAAACCCTCATCCCTACTACCATCAACACCGGAAAATGCTCACCTTTACGATCTGTTCTGCCCAGAGACAATCCTGAATAAAGGTTACGGCTGATGATCTGAATTAAATCTTCACGGTTTGTACTTTGAGGGCACCATATTTCTGTAAATCGGTTTCTTAAGGCAGGAGAAAGCTACAATGAACATAAATAAAGCCTATGAGGAAAACTGTAATACAAATCCCTTAAAAGAATGTTAACTGCCTGGCAATTGCCAGGTGCTTCTTTTATTATTTCTATTGCCAGATACAATTTATGAAGGACCTACTTTGTCCTAGCACCTTCCAGATGTCAACCCACTGGTGTCCCCCACATTTCCCAAGTCAGTATTGCCAAGAATGTGGATATAGACATGGATCAGAACTTGAAGATTTCCACCACAGTGGGTTATTTCCCAATGAACATTATTGCTAAGCAAAGGCCCTTCTTTTAACTTTAAACACATTACCACTACTTGAAGAAATAAATGCTATCAACTACAGGGGAGGGCAGTCCTTTACTTAGTAAGAGAAAAAAAAAAATTTATGTGTCTCAAAAGGAATGATATTATGAGAAGATAGTTTACTTGCATAGCAAACAAAGAACTGTCTGGTCCCTCCAGGCATAGGAACTCTGCCTTCTCACTGGATTCCTATTATCCTCTCCCCAGGGTTCCTCAGCCCCTATTCACAAATGCTTGTGATCGTAAAATGTATGCAATAGTCCATATTTTTTACATGATAAAAATGCTATCTATCATCTAGCAGGCCTATTACAGCAGAACCTGGAACAACATTTGTACTCAGGAACAGCTCAATGAAATACAAATGATCATGTGAATGTTCCTCCAGATCATGCTAGATGAGCAGGACCTCTGGTTTTCAGAATCCTACATCCCTCTGCTTATCAGAAATACAGTCAAAATTCAGCTTTCCTTAGGGAAAATTTGGCTATCTTTGTCTAAGAAAAAAATCTAAGCTAACCTAACAGGCAAGTTTAATGTATAAGCTCTAAATTTTATATTCTGGCCATTTCTACTTACCAAGGAGACAATTACTACATTGTCTGAAATAGTGATATTTTATTTGTTCTCACAAGTACAGTGATAATTTATCTTTTATACCACTGAGGAAAATTTGACACAAAATATCACATTCACATTTCAGATTCTCACAAAGTTACCAAGAATCTTAACTAATTTGTGAATCTGTTTTCCCCCATCTTCCTTAACCTCTCACCCCTTTTTCCTAACAGAACAGATCTCCCCCACTTCACTTAGTAGATTTAAAAGCCTAAAGGCCATGGAATTTTAGGTACTAGGTCCTATCTGGATAGGATTCTGACAATACCCTCTGAACAGGGATATAGTGCTTTCTATCTTTTCCTTTACCTAGCCTAATGATCCATAAAGACCTGGAGAATAAATCTGTTATACTACAAAAAGGCTTCACTTTTTTTTTTTTGTCATTTTGAACTCACTCATAAAATCACACTTGTGTTTAAAAGAGTTGACTCTAGAAGCAGAGCTTGAGATTAAATTCCAGTTTCAACTTTTCTCATCCATAAAATTAAGACAATTTTTTAATGCAGAATTTTTGGGAGATTTGTTATGGTGATATATGTAAAGGGCTGTGGGCCATGTGTCTAAAACAAAAAAATTTTAGGCATGTGCACAAAGATGTCTAATAATGAAATATGTATCTACCAGATTATTTTTCAATCTAATATTGATTCTAAAATATCTTTCTGAATCTTTACCAGTTTTTATTTATCATAAAATTCCAAATGAATTTTTACAAAGTATACTGATGGGTGCTTACATTCAAGGAATTACAATTCAGTTAACAGTTTACCTCTTTTTTTCCAAAATCACCTCCAGGATTCATGGTTGCTAAGATGCGAAACTTTTTCCCAGCAGTCAACAGCTCTACTTCATTATCCTTGTCCTCTATGCTCCCTTTTTCAGCTAACACCAGAGACTTTTCTACTTCAAGAACACTAAAAGAAAATTGGAGGATAGAATAAACACTTTCTAATTTTATATCTATTTTGATCTTCACTGATCTTTAAAAAGAAAGATTATCGCTTCTGTTGAGTTTTCACTTCACTTCAAGAATTCAAACAACCTAATTACTCCCATCTCA